TTATAATATAAAATTAAATACTGCTATAATATAATCTTTATTTTCAAATATTATCAAAAAAAATTTTATTTAAATATGTTAAAATTTAAAAAAAGTAGATTATAACCATATCTATGATAATTTTCTAGGCAAATTTGCCTGGAAAAACCTACAGTTTAAGGGATAGTTATACTTTTAAAATACAAAGATTATAATTATAAAAAGATATAATTAATATAGAAATAAATTAGTAAAAATAAATTTATAATTATATTAATTTTGTAACTACTATAAGTTTTTAAAAATAAATCATCTTTGATAATAAGCTACTCTTTAATATTTTTTAGAAATTATAAAAATTTGCAAATTATTTTTATATATAAAATCAAAATTTTACCAAGTAAACCAGGCTTTGGGTTCTTAAATAAGGTTGTTTACTTATTAAATTGCATATATTTTAAAAGTTTTATACAATTGGAATAAATATTTATAGAGATTTTAATTTTTTTAAAAAACTTAATATTTCAAAAATAAGCTACTTGTAAAATTTTTATATAACTTTTTAACCAAAAATAATAGCTTATTTTTAGCAATATACAGTATAAAGAAATAACTACAGAAAGAATTAACTATAGTAATATAAATTATTGTTACGGCTGATGCTGAAATTGGCTGATACTGAAATTTGAACCTATTTTGATATAAAAATTTAAAAAAATTTTGGGGTGTTTTTTTTACCACTTTTTTTTATAGTTAGGTTAGAATTTAGGGTTAAAATTTATAATTAAAGAGTATATGTGGATTCTAGCAAAACCTATATTTTAAAATTAGAACCCCAAATTTCAGCATCAGCCGCAACAATTACTAATAATATTTTAAAATTTATTAAATAATTTTTATATTAAACTTTTTTATAGTTATATCTTTAAGATACAAAAAATTGCAATTATAAAGAATATAACTAATATATTGTTAAGATGTGAAAAATTTTTTTTTATTGTGCACTTCGCCCCTTCCGCACATTAAATTTAGACACTAGTTATGTGGATATGGCTTTATGCAAATTAAGTTGGTCGTTGGGCCAGAATTATTTTAATTCAGGCTAGAATTAAATGGTTAACACAGGCTAAAATTAAACGGTTAACACAGACTAGAATTAAACGGTTAGCACAGGCTAGAATTAAACGGTTAACACAGGCTAGAATTAAACGGTTAGCACAGGCTAATATTAAACAGGCTAGAATTAACCGGTTAACACAGGCTAGAATTGAGCGGTTAACACAGGTTAAAATTAAACAGTTAACACAGGTTAAAATTAAACAGTTAACACAGGCTAAAATTAAACAGTTAACGTTAACACAGGCTAAAATTAAACAGTTAACGTTAACACAGGCTAAAATTAAACAGTTAACGTTAACACAGGTTAAATTTAAACAGTTAACGTTAACACAGGTTAAAATTAAACAGTTAACGTTAACACAGGTTAAAATTAAACAGTTAACGTTAACACAGGTTAAAATTAAACAGTTAACACAGGTTAAAATTAAACGGTTAACGCAGGTTAGACATTTTAACTAAACGTTGAAATATAATACCGATACAGGTCGATTGATAATACAATTCTGGTCATACATACCGATACGTACCAATTTTTCTTTTTTTGAAAAATGACGAAATTATACGTTGTATAATATCGAAGATGAAGATTTAATACTAAAAATAATATTATTGGTTAAATATTTGATCAGGAATTTTAGAAGGCGATGAGTTCATTGCATTGCCGTATTAGTCATAATAAATGTAAATATTTATGGTTTAAATTCCAATGAACAATAATTCTGATCTTTGAAAAGGCAAAACGAAGGGGTAATATTTTTTTTTCTTTGGTGCATGATAAAGAGATACAAAAAAAAAATTTTAAGGGCATGTGTAAAAGTAGTACAAGAAACCGTTATTATGAATAAAAAAAATGTAAGAAAGAATAGCCAAAATTTGATGGCATATAATGTATTAAACAATAGCCAAAATTTGATGGCATATAATGTATTAAATCATCATAAATCTTTTATAATCATATAATCTTTAATAATCAAAAAAATCCAATAATCACAAAAATCTAATAACGATAATAATAGAAAAATCAATAATTATCTAACATTTTGAAGATGCATTTGATACAAATCTTTAAGATGGTTCCATCTTAAGGAATGCAACGGCGGGCAGCCCCCCGTCGCAGGATTTTTTTAACAAAGGGAATTAATCACTACAATATAACAGGTCGGTTACACGCATGTTTGGCATGAAATCATAATCGGACAAGGTAATTTGGATTGACGGACCAAAAAAGATTATCTATCCAATCAGAGATTGATTTCGATCAATCTCGGAGAGTTTTGTCAGAGGTTTGTAAGAGGTTTGTAAGAGGTTTGTAAGAGCCTTGTCATATCAGATAGTCAGATCCAGAGGCATGTTCCAGAGGCGCATGTACACTCAGAAGCATGTTCAGAGTCATGACAGAGGGTCTTATCACATAGTTCAACAAAAGTACATGATATGTTTAACAAACTTAATAATAAGTATAACGACAAACATACCGACAAACATAACGACGAGGAAACAAATGACTTTAAAGTCAGGGATTACATTTAATAAACGATATTAGAGATTTCTAATAATACACAGATTCATATATACCGATTCATATGTACAGATTCATATACACAGACACATAATACACAGCCTCATAGTACACAGACTCATAATGCACAGATTTCCATAATACACAGATTTTCATAATACACATTCATAAGACGCAAATTAAACTGACAAGACAAATAATAAGAGAGATGTCAATGTGTGGGTTTGCATTACGTACATGCTTAAGTGAGTAAATGAACATGAGAACGCTTTAAAAATAATTATTCGTAAGTGGTTTTTTTCACAGGATTATCATGCTATTTAACCCATGAATGTAATTTGCATGAATGTAATTTGACATGATTTCTTTTCCGATCATGTTTGATCATGTTTTTTTGAAAAGGCCGAATCAAAAATCATTTATCTCGGCAGATTATTGTCACGCTTGTTACACTGGTTAAAATCAGTCTATTTATTGGTTAACATTTTCTTTTTTACTTTATAAAAATTCATTTGTTGATTAAACCAAAGACTATAGAATTATTGGTTTATCAATTATGTATCTTTCAATATTCTTATAACGCCACAAACAAATGAGCGTAATTAAAAAAATAATTAAAAAAAGTCAAAAAAAGACATGTAATATATTTTTTTTATATAATGATAATTTATAATAAAGAATAATTTAAATTCATAAAAAGTAATTTATAACGATAATGATACGTAATTAAGAATTAAAATTTACTAGTAGTTTTTTTTTTCTATTTATAAAATTAAGGGTATTTGTCTTAAGGTTAATCTTAAGGTTAGTCGTAAAGTTAATGATAATTTGACCCTTACGTCACGGAACCGAATAGATTATATAATTAAGAATCATTCATAATCTTCATAATACTTAAAATGAAGAGATAATATAATCTCTTTTTGGTTTAATCATTTTTGTGAAACAGATTTCATATTCAGACTAATTACTAATTTACACAAAATATGAAGTTAATAATGAATCTTAAATGCAAAGTAAATTTGTTAATTATTATAATTAAACTTTAAAACCTAACACAAAGTGACAAACAAAAGTGAATACGTATTGTTGTCTATTATTTAATGTCACACAAAAGAAATTAAATATATTAGTCAAAGAATGCGATGTTATGCGAAATTTTTATAAATTATTATATACTTTGATAGTAAACGAGTAATTTTACTCAATCTTAGATAGCATGTCTTATTTTTTGATCGATTGAATGCATTTAATCATGCGGTAAGACATATTCGATGAAGTTTGAACGCCTTTCTTTATTTCCTTTCTTTAATTAATTATCATGCTTATGGCTACAGTTATGATATTCGTATGATATCCGTATGATACTCGTCTGATAATTTCTGGTAGTTTCACGACGCTTGTTTACAACTATAACATACTTGTTAACATACTACTAGTTAACATGCTTGTTTACATACGATTAGTTAACATACATACTACTAGTTAACATACGTACTAGTATTGGGTACATTAAATAATAACCAAAATCCTATTACTTGGTAACCGAAAGTTAACCTTAATACTATGGTAAAATCTTATTCATTACCGAATTTTTGGCTAATAATTTTATATATTATTATATGCGTATTTATTTGGTCATTCACCATTTCTATCAATAAATGCTATGAATCTGTGTTCAAAATGATAATCTTGAGGTGTGACTGAATGTAAAACATTACTATATACATACGT